ACTTGTTGCTTTTAATATTCATACAACGACATAAAAGGGTGCTTACTGTCTTTTGTTTGTCTTTGTTTTTCTTAATTTTTTATGTCTCACACAAATTGTTTGTTTGTTTGTTTGTTTTGGTAAGAGGGAGAATTAATTTCAATGTTTTCAAATTTGAAATCCTTGAGAATAATTATTAGTAAAGCGATGAACTTCATCAAATTGGATAAAATTTTTTGAATAATACTTTTCATAATTGCCATGAAATCCGCAGTTAATTAGTTGTCAATTAGTTCCCGTGGGTACCTTTGAAGTGCAAAGTACTTTTGAAAGACTGACAGCACACTGATCCTGCACTCACACTGGGTGGTGTGCAGATACAATTAGTCGAGAAGTTCATGTATCTGGGTAGCTGGATAAGTGCTGGTGGTAGCGTGAGTGATGAGATTAATTCACGTACAGTCAAAGGCAAAGCAGTTTGTGCCAATCCTGGTCATTTTTTGCATTTTCGTGATGTTAGTCTGGCTGTAAAAGATCGGATCTACAACGCATTAGTAAGAGCAATTTTGATCTACCCTTGTGAAACCTGAACTTTCCGAGTTGTGGATGTTAAAGGACTCTCTGTGTTTGATCAATGATGTCTTCAAAAGATTACTGACCTCCAGTGGCAACACCGTGTTAGTAGTGCAGAGGTTCAGCATCGAGTGTTCGGGAAAAATGACGATAACTCGATTGGTGTCACTATATTGAAACTTCGAGTTTGGTGGCTTGCACATGTTTTGCGAATGTCGTCCCAGAGAATTCCATGTCGTGCATTATCTGCCGACGCTGAAACAGGTTGAGAAATGTGGGGAGGTGGTCAGTGTATGACATGGTGTCATGGTATGAAAGAAAGCTGTACAGGACTAATTTCTGTTGGTCCTTCACGACTCCCTGTTTGTGGTCCTAGAAATGGTACAACACGGTGGCTAGAGACATTATCATACATGGCTTAGAATAGAAGCCAATGGCGATCCTGTTGTACCTTCCTTTTACTACACAAAAACGAACGTAACTTCTTTAGTTGAAAGAATTCTTTCTGGGTGTACTTTTTCTAACTGAACTGTCTATCCCGTTATTGTTATTATTATTATTATTATTATTATTTTAACCATTCAGTAATTTCTGTTCGTTGTGTTTTTCTGTTATACGCACTTTACATTCTCTTTTCCTAAATTCATTGCTATTGTGTGGCGCATATGTATTTGGTATCCCCTTGCACCAATGTTTATGTGTTCAAATAAAATAAAGGGTATTTATATTTGCATTCTTATTTAAAATCGAGATGACGCCATAATTATTTGATTACACTAAGAATAGTTGATAACAAATTTAGGAGAGAGGAAATTTCACGACTACCTTATTAAGATGTGATATAGGGACTGGAAATTATTGCGAAGTCAGAGTACTATTTCGTATTTGACTTCAAGGAATCCATGAATATAATCTTCATGTAGTCAGTCAGCCACTCAGGTACAACGTAGGACCAGGCACGTATATACATCGGTCCAAGTTGCCATTAACACAACAAGATGGACACCGGATTCATAAAAGTAGTTAATTCAGAGGTGGTAATATATAAAGGAAAGATTGCAATAAGGATATAGCACAGGAAGAAAGAGTTAGTTGGTAGAAAGAAATATATGAAGCGATTTTAACCTCTTAGTTTAAGGGAAGACAGAGAGTGTATAAACCGACGCCATTGTTATCGATTCTGAGTCATGTCACCAAGAGTCTCTTACCATTGGTTACGATATTCACGCGGACACCAAACAAGTAGTCTGCATCTAACAACATGGCTCAGACTAGAAGTTAGTGACGTTGTGGACTGATGCCACGTTTTGTTTTGGCCACCCCTAACCTTCTTCCAACCATTTCCAATACCGGATAGCATTGCACGTCGTGGTAATCGGTGTCCTGGCATACGTAACACGTGGCCCAACCATCTCAGTCGATGAACATTCACAACCTCATCAACTGGTTTACCATCATCATTCCCTAATACCCCGCATCTAACCTCACTATTTCTTACCCAGTGATCGTAGAAGATGTGAGAAATATTTCTAAGGCATCTGTGGTTAAATACTAGTAGCTTACGAGTGTCTTCTACTCTTAATGGCCATGTTTCGTTGCCGTAAATAAAAACAGAACGGATTGCCGCGCAGTATACTCGTCCTTTTATTGATAGACGGATATCTCGCCTTCGCCATAGGTGACGTAAGTTGGCGAAAGCCAAACGAGCTTTTCGAATCCGTGCTGAGATTTCGTCAGACACCAACCCATTAGGGCTGATCAGACTTCCAAGATAAGTGAAGTTGTCAACGCGTTCGACTACTTCACTCCCTATCCTTAGTTCAGGTGTTGACGCAGACCAGTCCTGAAGCAACAACTTGCATTTAGAGGGAGCGAAGTGCATTCCAAACATTCTGGCATTGTAGCTTAGTGCTACAAAAAGCCTCGGCATTTTATCAGCGTCTTCACC